CTTGAGATTTCGCCGGTTCGAGGTGAGTAATGATTGTAAATGATATCCTGAGGGTTTGAAACCCCGAAGTTGCATGCCATAGTGCTATATTGAGGTGACTTGCACGCTGGATAGCGAGCGTGGGGTAGAGCACCGTTGGGGATTGTGACTTGGTCCGTCCCAATTGTTGATTTTACCGCGTATTTGATTGAAACTTATTTGATATTATCATGACTTGGGCTGATTGCCGTACTTGGGGCTTATTGCCGACTGTTTAAAATCCTTGTGAGCTATCATCACTGTTTTCCTCACTATTTGAAAAATATTATTTGAACTCAGTCCATTTGAATTACACTGTTTCATGAACTCAGCTATATTTTTACTCAACCTTGAGTTTTAACTGATGTTTGAACTATTGTTTGAGCTGAGCATTATTATCTTTACTGATGCCTGAGGGGCTTATGATTATTTTTGGACTGATTGAGGCCGAGGGCCATATGTGAGGATATGTCGAGTGATGTGAGGAGGCTTTCAGGCCTCAAGTGATATGTGAGGAGGCTTTCAGGCCTCGAGTGATATGTGAGGAGGCTTTCAGGCCTCGAGTGTATTGTGAGAAGGCTTTCAGGCCTCATGTTGATATGTTCAGGCTTTCAGGCCTTATGATGATATAACGCTTGGGCTGTAGGAGTCTGCACACCCACAGTGAGCGCGGGTACCCATTTAGAATTGGACAGTGGTAACAATGACACTGTCATATGCGTTTTGGTCAGGTAACAATGACTGACCAGTCAGGTAACAATGGCTGACCAGTGGTAACACTGGCACTGTAATACGCGTTTTGGTCAGGTAACAATGGCTGACTGGTCAGGTAACAATGACTGACCAGGAACATAAATCATGCCCGAGGGGCCGGTACTGTTTTGAGATATTGCCCGAGGGGCGAACTTTTATGTGCTCATCTTGCATACTTATTTGCCTCTTTACTTGTTATACCGTGGTATTTGTGCCCGAGGGGCGGATTTTCTGTGCGTATCAGCACTAACTGTTTTGGTATCGTTTTCGTAATCACTGAAAAGATCATTTTTAAAAGAGATTTGAACTGAGCCAAGGTATTTCTAAAGATTACACAGATTTCATTTTTTTCTCAGAAAATTGCACCCGGCTTCTGTATAGCATGTTGGTTGCTTTACGTGATTTCTTGCTGCTCAGTTATTATTTACTTTTATTACTCACTGAGTTGGAGTACTCACTTTACTCCCTGCACCTCGCGTGCAGATGCAGGTATTGTTCACCCGGTAGTGGGTTTTGAGCTGGTTGAAGGTATTGCTATCGTAGCTGAGCAGAGTGACCGCCAGCGTTCGCGGCACCGGATTACTTCCTTTGGTTCTAAATTTTATTCCGTATATTGTTGGCCCTGTAGTTGTATTTAGACTTCTCTAGATGCTCGTGACTTGTGACACCCCGGTCGGGTTGTGTTGGGTTGTAAACTTCGTTAATTAATATCCTTAAGTCGTATTTTGCTATTCATTTATGTTTAACTAATTTGAAAGGAACTATTTGGGTTAGTTGGCTGGCCTTGTCTTCACGAGAGGCGCCATCACGACTAGTGCGGGGTTTTGGGTTGTGACATCTGGTTCCTATGTAATACGATTATATGATGAATAATTTGGTTGAAGTTGATTAATTTGGGCATCTCAGTAGTGTGCAGTACAAACTCAACTTCACAGTAATCTTTTTATTTTGATATTACTGCTTGGGTACATCTTTGAATTTCTTTGGGTTTGAAGACCTTTTCTTTTGTGGTGATCTGAATTCTGTTTTGAATTCTTGTGTGTACTTTATTTTTTGCTATGATGTAAAATTGTAGAGTGTTTTCTTAGTGATGCAATGCTAAGTTTTTTGTTAATCAAAATATTTGATACTCGATTCTTTGAGACTGCTTTGGGAAAAAAGAAGAGGAACGAAAGAGATGATACATTGAAGAAATTGAAGATGATGTATAGCCTGTTTGGCCAAGTTTCTTTTTGGTCGAAAGTGATTTTTTTTTTTTACCAAAAGTACTTTTGGCCAAAAATTGAGGTATTTGGCCAAGCTTTTGGAAGGAAAGAAAGTGTTTTTAAGGAGAAGCAGAAGCAGTTTTGGAGAAGCAGAAAAAAGTAGCTTCTCTCCAAAAGCACTTTTTTGAGAAGCACTTTTGAGAAAAATACACTTAGAAGTAGTTTTTTAAAGCTTGGTCAAACACTAATTGCCTACTCAGAAGTGCTTTTCAAACTAATTCGCCAAACACAAACTGCTTCTCACCAAAAGTACTTTTGAGAAAAGCACTTCTCAAAATACGGGCTAGTAGTTTAGTAAGAGGAGAAAGAAGATAAAGGAAATTCGCGAAGAGAAAAGAGTGGCATAAGTACTATGGGACCCACTTTTCCACTTATTTAATAACTAGAGGTGCCTCATACAAGTTTTGTTGGTCGAGTCTCACTCAAAATAAAAATTTTCCTGCATTTATGAGATGGTCTTGGCAAACTACTCAGGGCAGTAATATTTGAGATACAAAAACATATATGGGGTCGTTTGGTAGGATGTATTAGGGGAAAATAAAATATGTATTATCTTTGGTATTATTAATCTCTTATTTGGTATTCCCTTTGTCTCATATTATATGTCATGATTCTCTTGTACACGCCTCTTAAGAAAAATTAGTTAGGGTGGGATTTGGACTACTTTACCTTTATTCATGTCTTAATATTTACATTTTTCTTCATTGAATATTTTATCCATTTATGTGTCATCTCCATTAGTGATATCATCTAAATTTTTACTAAATGTGAATGCAAATCATTGAATATACTTTGTTTGGTCTTCAACCATGTTCACAAATAATTAATTTTGTCTTGATATGACAAATAATTTGAGACAACTATTTTTAGTAATCGTGACTGATAATATGAGACAAAGGGAGTAATGTTTTTCAACCTATATATAACTAATACTTGTATTAGTTATACACCATATTCAGTATTATTCTTATATATATTAAATCATGGCATTAGCAATAACATAGTTTTTAATACATGGATAAGCATATATAAAAACAAAATTGCCCTTTCAAAGTCGTTTCCAAATCCTTTTCCAAAACTTCCCAGGTTTTTTTTTTCTTCTAAAACAATTATGGAACGCATGTTATTTTTAATACACCAAATCAGACAGGCAATAAGAAATAATCTCAGTATAACTAATCTCAACATTACTAATACAGTATTCAGTATTATTCTTATATACCCTACCAAACAACCCCACACTGTAGAAGTCATTACGCTCAGTACAGTTTTGAGTTGTTGCAAGCTCATTTGTTAGTTGTTACAATACTGAGTTTTGCTGTAGTATACTAAAGTTTTACACTCTGTTTGGATCATTGTTACCCATCGTTTTATAATGTATTGTATCGTACCGTTTTATGAATACCACGTTTGGATAGATTGTATTGTTTGTTATTAAATAACATCTATTGTTTGGTTTGACCGTACCGTACTGTACAGTAACTGATAAGTTTACTAAAATACCCTCCATTGTTTAAATATTAAATTATCAAGAATTACGCGTGAAAATAATTTAAGAAAATTTCTTTCTACTAATTTATCATCAAATATATCTTATAAATAGATTAAGCAATTAAATTCATGCAAATTCTAACAAAATTAGTGGAACAAGTTAATAATATTAAAAACAATAATAAGTATACTCCATTTCTAACTAGATCATAATAATAATAAAATATAAAATAAAATGTTAAAGAACTATGATAAAGAAAGGAACGAGAATTGGCAGAACAAAGATAATTAGAATTGGAGATAAAATCAAATTAGGAGGAAAAACGAAACAAAAGAAGGCAAAACACCTTTGACGTTATAGTTGGAAGCGGCAGAAGTTCTGGAAAAAAAGGGACAAAGACAAAGTAGGTTATAGGTTGGAGATTTGAAGTTAAAATTAAAAATTAAAAATAAAAAGGTAAAGGATAAAATAGAATTATGGAGAATAAGTAAGGGCATAATTGGAAAGAAAAATAGGAAACAATCCCACCACACCAAATCGGTTGTTTTAAAAATGGAACTTTTCATTGTTCCGGAATAATGAATTTAACAATACAATTCAACCAATTTTAATGAAACAATCAAAACAAATATTGTTTTGGGACAACAATACAATACGATAGATGGTAACAACCATCTAAACAAGCTGTTAGTTTGACTCGACTTTTTAACGTTTGCTTTCTTCAACTGTAAGGGACGCCAAGTTGCTTTCATGATAAATTAATTATATGAAAATAATATAAGAATTATTAATTTAATTTGATAAATTGAATTCGCTTGCCACTGCATTATATAAACTATTAGTTTAAACCAGAATTTAAGTTCGGGATGTGGTTAATTGAATCTAAAACATAAACTGAACTCTGAAGGCAAAAAATAATTAGTAATAAGTACAAAAGAGTTGTACTATTAATATTATTGATTTTGAATTCTTAAATTCAAAACTTTAGTTACATTTCACCTCAATTAGACTAAGTGACATTGTGATTACAAATTTAATTAGATCAAATAAAGTACAAAATTATAAATTTATTAGTCATTATTATTAAGCCTATGGATGACTTTGTTTTTAAATTAATAATTATTACTTGACTGAGTTTGACCAAGACCGAACTAAGCAAATTATGGGAGATTTGCACAAATAGGGTCCCCGTTTTTAAGTAAATTTTGCAAGAATAGGTCAGCGAGGCATAACTTGTTCAAAACTATGAACAAGTTGCAAAACTTTAAAAACAAGTAAAATAGTTGAATGCCAGCTCTCAAAAGGCAAATTGGGTGCAATATCTTGGCTAAATACAGGGAGCCGAGACAAACTTCGCTGAAGTGATTAAGTAAAGCCTATTCAATTATCATAAAATACAGGAAAAGATATTCAAGCCAGTGCAGTGCCTGAATCTTGATCAAAGCTAGAAGCACCCTAAGCAACCAGTTAAATATATAAATAAGCAAAGAGCTAAGATGCCTTAATATTTGCAAAATTTTCAGTCTGAACAGAAAACTCTTCTGTGCAAAGATTACAAATCACCCTACAAAAGAAACTACATTTCTAACAGTGAATATACAAAGTACAGAGAGACAAATGTAACAACAATGTAATCCCCCTACTTGTGAAGTATTCCTAAGTGTACGGCGTATATCGAGAGGAGAATAAAGCACCAAACGGGTAAAAAGACACATGCCCCACCTCCGTCAGAAAGCAACAGCTGCAAACCACAATATTAAGACTCTACATTAAGGCTGATGTTGCTTTCTTATAGGAACTTAGCTTCACTTTATTTGCTTCCCTTGAATGCCGAAAGAGAAAAGAACGATCTTGATGCTGAAACACAAAACACCAAAACATTAAGAATATGAAGGACATATACATCACTAGAAGTTCAATTTTCAAAAGGCGTAAGACAGAAAGTTACAACGGAACTTAAAACACAAAAGGAAAGAAACCTTTTGTTGTACTTGCTGGAGCTGAGAGCCGGCTTGCCTGCAATTTTTGAGCAGCAACTTTGCCTATGCTTGTTTGAGCTGCAAGTATGGATGTCCAGTCTATGTAAGGTTTATCGATAAAAGAATTATGAGACAGAGCTGAGTGCAAGCAATAAATAACATAGACAATTAAAAGAGTCTACTAGGATAGAAAATAAAAAATGTTTGCTGCGAAGCACAAAGAAATACCGGATAGCTCATAGGCTTCAGACGACGACTTTGGTTGTCCAGAATGCTTAGCATGAAGCGTGGCTTTCTTCAGTAGATTGTCCGAACTACTTTTGATAAGAAGTTTAGAATCCTCTGGATCATCCTCACCTTCAGAGAAGAAAGATGGGCTTGAAACACCAGTTGAATTCGAATCAGTCTTACTCTTACGAGCAAAGTTTAGAAGCCGCTTTAATCCCTTTGGCACATCCTTCTGATATACCATGGTAGGAGGATTCTCAGCATTACCCCAGTCAATAACATCTTCACTGCTTTCTTCAAGCAACATTTGAGACAGAGAATGACGAACTCGTGGACTTGAGATTCTTACAGTTGCAACATCAGCCAGAGATTCACCAAAACCATCATTACATGGAACGGCTTGATCCTCCTGCTCCTCTATTTCCACCCAGGCGCTAGGGGAAATGTTCGATTCCTCTTCAACCTCTCTTGTCAGTGTAGACTCTTCCATCCTTCCAAAATCATCTTTGTTATCTGGCGTAACCTTATTGCAGCTCTCTCTATCTTCATATTTTCGAGGGCTGATTAACTGAATTGCGGAGACTTCAGCTTCATGGATTTTTAACTCCTCAAGACCCCTGTCCTGCAGCTGATTAAGAGGACCAGAAGCAACAGAGGCCATCTCATTCTCCTCAACTTGAACGAAGTCCGTAGATTCCCTCAAAGATTTTCCAGGCTGGGGTGAAACTTTGGCCTTTATGACTGGACTATGACCAGATCCAGTACCCGAGCCCTTACGAAGAAAAGGTTTTGCCTCCTTTGATTCCACAGGCACCACACTGCTTTTCTTGGTTAACTTGCTGAGTCTAGGTTTAGCAGAGGAGGCAGAATCTCCAGAGGTAGGCTGAACTTTGGCTTTCGTGGGTTTGCTGACTTTTGTCAGAGTCTGCGGTTTCTTGTCATTCCCATTTGGAACATTCTTTCTGATATTATTCTGGGGTGCTTTCACAGGTTTTGCTTGGGGCTGTAATTTCTCAACCTTTTGGCTTGTCTGAGGAACTGCTGTTGTTGACTGTGATCTTCTACGGGTAGGTGTAGTACCTGTAGAATTTGTTATAGGAGGAGTTTTAGCAGTTGATGTCCCTGTAACTCTTGGTGACGGCATAGATGGCCATGACTTCCGCGTTGCTGGCAGTTGCGATGCTTTTGATGAAGCTTTCTTTACAACAGCGGGTTTGGGAGTTTCACCTTTGGTATTTGCAGATTCAGGGGAGTTCTTGACTGTTCTCTGAGTTCTCTTAATATTTGGTTTTTTACTAACATTACTTGCATTTCCTGAGACAATTGCTGCTTTTCTTTCATCAAGAACTTGTTGCAGTGCTTTAAATTGTTTATCCTTCTCTGCTCTATTCCTAGCAGTTTCACGACGAAGTTTCTCATCCCTTTTTTCTTTGTAATGATCATAGAAACCACCTCGACGCTCAGTGGGACGGCTTTGGTGTTTGTTATCAGTAGCTGCCGAGCTCCGATATTTGGTAGGCTTGGTTTCCATCATTTTCGTGAGCAATTGGTTTAACTCTGCTTCCTTTTGTCGAGTCCATTCAACTGACGCATTTAATTTTTCACCTATTTCTGCACCTTGGTTAGGGAGAGATTCCTCTCTCATAGCCTTTGGACTATATGCTTTCTCTTCAGGTAACTTTTGTTCGATATCAGCAGCAGTAGCGTCAGCGTCAAGACTATTGGGAGGAGAGTATGAATCGGGTTTCATTTCCAAAGTACTCTCAGTTTCTTGATCTTCCGTTTTATTGATAGCCATGGAAACTGGATCATCAGACGCCACATCAGCAGAGCCTTTAGAACTTTCACACACCCCTGAACTCCATCTTCTCAATACCGCTTTATTAGCACCAACTGAGGCGTTTAATAGTGACTTTGTCCTCTGATAATCAACAGTTCCGCCTTTCTGTTTGTTTTCAAAGAGACTGATTGCGTCTTGCACACTCATTCTGCACACATCCTTCTCAGCCTTTTTCGAGGTTTGCTCAGAGTCTTCCTCATCACTACCGCTGGCAGCTGCATGATGAGAGACTGACCTTTCTCTGGCGGGAAAGTAATTTAGACTCTTAATCGTTAAAGCAGTGGATCTTCGTGACCCAGAGCGCCCAATTTGGACTCTTCGCATTGGAGATGCAGACCTTCTCGGAGATGCAGATCTTATAAGAGTCCGACTTCTTTCCGCTGACGGTTGTTCCTCCTCACTTGTACAGGAAGATTCCTCGCTCCCTGATGAGTTTTGTCTCTCCATATGTGCAGCTTTTGCAGGGGAAGCACTATATGTCACTGGTGTTTCCGACTTTGATGGTCCGGATGTTTGAGAATTGCCCTCTACTGAACCAACTTTGTCATTTCTGATATCAATTCTTGAAAGAGACAACTGTTTACTCTCGTGGCTCGGCACAATAAACTTCTGTAGACAGTTCCTGAAACAGACAACATAAAATGCAGTCATTAACCTGTTGCACACATCTTCCAGATGAATTAGGTTTAAGTGGTAGAAAAGAGTATCACTAACTTAACCACAAAACAAATAAAACAAAACAAAAACAAAAAAGAGCAAATTTTATTAGATCTTCATTGCCCTCACTATTAAGGCTATTTCGTTCAGATTTGGGAACAGTCTCTACTAATCGAAATGAGTGGTCATTAGATCACTAACTGAAAACAATTAAGTAGGAGTAAGGTGGTGCTTGAATTGGAAAATAAATTTGTTTTTGGAACAACTAGCATTTATTTTGGTTTATGGGGAACGATGTGCATGTGGAAATTTATATGCGGAAAATATCACTAAAGCCTTAAAACACTTTTATTGGTGAAAAATAATATCTCAGAACCAAACGAACACTTATATTTTCAACAAAGAATATTCTGCTGGAGAAATGGTTAAAAGAAATACAGGGGACAGATTAAAGAAAAAATACTTTCGGCTTTGGCTAAAAAAGTCATATTCACTGATACTGACTAAAGAACAAGTATTGTTTGGTTTCAGGAACAAAATAAGTACAGAGAATTGATTAATTCAATAACTGTCTAATCAAAATACTGAAAATCAGCTGATCTACTCCAAACTTGATAGACCCTTAGATTTTGCTAGTTGACAGATGAATCAAGGGTGGAAAAGTTTTCCTCTTTTCCCCCCATTTTTGATAAGGTAAACCCAACCCCCGAAATCCTCCTGCCAGGAGTCAACGTGGCCTTTTCCACTTAGCACCCTTGATAACTCGAAAATCCAAACTCTAGGTCAGAAGTGGAGTGCTGTTACCATTGGAGCAACGGGCAACCTCACTTGTCGAAAGGTTTTCCTCCCGTTTATGATAACTCAAAATACAAAAAGAAATCACGGTTAAAAGAAAAAGAAACAGCACATTGACAGAGCATAGAAACAGCTGAAAATGGATTAAAGGGATTAGACCCTCCCCGCCACTAGTTCTCCCACGGCTTACCTCAATTCAACAGCTCCAAAATAGTAAGAGAACTTTTCTATGTTAATAATATCCTCAAAGGAGCATGTGGTGCCAGCAGCTTGGTCGATAGCAGCAGCTAGTTCTCCTTTTAAAGCAGTCAGCCTCAACTCGATCGCCCTCAGCAATTCATTCCTGTATACCATTAGATTATTTGGAGATGATAGATTAATTTCTGAATTTAGAAATTGTAAGATGCATAGGGACATACTTGGAAGCATCTGATGAAGAAGAGTTATCATCTGCCTGGTGTGGTATCAAAGATCATGTCATCTTTAAACGTGTACATGCAATAATTTGCGGAAAAGACAAGAACTAAAAAATAATCCAGGAATAGAGATGGATAATTTACTTGCTGCGTTGATGACACTGCACCACTTGAGTAAACGCATTCTGCTAAAAGTAAGAAAAACCATATTAGTTGCTAATTTCTTTCTTCTATTTTTCAGATTGAGGATTCTACAAAGGCAGAGAACAGTAAGACTAACCTGCTTCGTCGCTCCCAGTACGATCCTGAGGACCCTAAAAGAATAACAAGCTCAGTAATTCTGCTTGTTACAGGTTCTATAGATTAATTGAAGGGTCAGAATAATTAAAAAGAACAAGAAAAGCACCTTTGAATACAAAGAAACATGAAACTTCCGAGCTTCTTCAAGCTGAGATATTTCATTTACCATGGCCTTGGCCATATCTATTGTAGGTGATGAGCTGATAATACGAAGAAACCTGGAAATACAGGGATTGGAATATGGAAATACGGAAGCTTAGAAAAATCTTTCAAAAACAGTTTGAAGTAAATGACAACTGAGTGACTGATCAAAAAAAGTAAATGATGATGATTGAGTGAACCTGATCAATGTGGATTTTGTAAACCATTTAGCGTCATTAAGATTCCCTAGGGGTCTAAATCTGAAATTGGCATCTGATCCCTTTGAGTGCAAAGATTTGATTTTGGGAGAATGAAGCACCAATTGCTCCAGAAGACCGGAGGTTAGTGTTTCTAACTTGTTGCCATAGCAGATATGCGACTCGTACCTGCGCCCAAAATATGGTAAAAAAAAAAGGAAGAATTAGTATCACGAGAACCATGATCCACAGAAGAATTCATGGCAAGTGCACCAACTGTTGGGATTTAAGTAACCAAAGAAAACCTCAACTGGTCTATTCTCTTGCTACACTGGGAACAAACTAAATTTCCGGTCTCCCCATTTTCAAAAAGGGAGAAACAAAAAGTTAATGAGTCCTCATGCAGAGATCAACACAAATATTGTTCACTTAATGAAAATTATGAAATTGACTGCACCTAGAATATAGCCAGTTGAATTAAAAACAAAAGGACTTACCTGTTCTGGCTTGGGAAAATCTGAAATTCAACATAGTCCATCAAGACATCAGCATCTATTCCATCCTCCATTTTTTGTCTCTTAAAAGCCTAAGCCTGGTCAAAGGAAGCTAGTCAATTAGCTCAATGTAAGATTGTCAAGATTACTCTCAACTCTTTTAGGTAACTTAGACGTGCATTGACTTCAACAAAGAACTCATTTTGATTCCAAGAAGACTGAAACAGACACAAAATTACACCAAATATAGAAGTGAAGTAACTATCAAATCAAATACATCAACATTATAGCCTAGGGGGACAAAAATAAGCGAGCTGACCTTAAAAACAGAACCAACCCACCATTGCCAAAATTAAATTTTTATCTGACCCAACAACTTGAATATAACTAAATCTCAACTGTCTATAGGTCAGTAAGCTGCAATAAAACTAAAACAATGAAGAACAGACATAACTGCATTCAAAATCAGATCTACCTTCAGACGAAATTGTCTTTTAATTCCTGTCATTGTTTCTTTTTTAACAGTCACTGTTTCAAGAACTAAATGTGCAGCAAAAAGAATGTTAAAAATATCTACTTGGGTTTCAGCAAAGTGTAAAATGCAGGTTGAAAAAGAGGAGACTTACAGGAAATGGAGCACAGGCACAGCCCTCAAAGTTGGAGGAAAGAAAAAGAGCTTGTTGGTGAAGATCTTAAATGGGGTTGGTCCAAATCAAGAACATAACAAAGTTACAGTCTTTTCCCTTTAATAAAAGTTGTGGTCACAGCCCCAGCTGGAGTAAAGAAGAGAACTTTGAGTGCAAGGAAGAAGATGAAAAAGGAGGTAAATACTTAGAGACAGTGTGTGACTGTGTGTTGGGTTTGAGAAAGAAGCAAATGTTTGTTCAGTTGGGGGGTGGGTGGGTGGGTGGAGAGTGGAGAGTGGAGAGTGGAGAGTGGGAGAGTGGGGGATGAATGCGGTGATTGCGTTTGAGAAAAGCTTATTACTATATCGATTGTCTTTATTATTGCACCGAACGCTTGTAGCGCGTGATGTCACGTTTCATTTCTCTTTCCTTTTTCTTTTTTTCATCTATGAATTCAAACTTAGTTTGGTTATTATTAAATTTTATTCAAGTGGTCCTCTGCTCTTGTACCAATTTAGATTTTTTCTTTTTAAGCAGACGCCTAAGTGCATATACTTCCTTTCTACATTCTTATTTGTAAGGGATTAGTATTAATTTTCTTAGGTAATTTTAGAAACGGGAATAAAGATTCCATATGGGGTACGTCATTTGATTTAAGCACCGTCCAGTGATTTTTATTGAATATATCAAAGTCAGAGATGAAGTTCATAACTTCATATATTGCCTACAGCGAAATGAAATGATTATACAATAACGTTTGAGCTGGAAATTTGCTGAGGAAAAGTCCTCTTTTTATTTTGCAAATAAAGTCAAACTAACCGACGAATTCTGTTTAGGAGAGTACTCATGTTCCACGCAGCAAATGCTAATGTTTTGAAATCCAAATCGTAGCCTCATATTCTAAAGTGACTATATTCTTTTTTTTTTTTTTAATTTCCAACAGATGTTTGATACTCGTATTGCAGCGATTCGTGCGGCAGTAACACATATTAAAAGGAAAACGCTTTCTACTAAAAAAAATCATCTCAAAAAGTTCGAATCTAAAACTTATAGTTAAGGATGAAGGAATACTATTGATCCTATCACAACGTTAATGGTATAACTATCTATTCTTTAAACATAGTCATGTCATAATATTAAAAATTCAACACAGAACTCCAATTAAAGGGAACTATAGAGAGACAGGTGCATGGGAATGGCGGGCCTATAGCTTGACTTAGAAGAAAGAATAACAACCCACACCACACAAGGCGTTACACAGCCACTACTACTACTACTACTTTTTTGAGCCTAGAAATTTTAGCAAATCTTGAAGCAACGGCGATTCGTAAAAATAAAGGTGCCTAATTTCCAATTTGCGAATCCACCATCCATGTGGTTTATGGTGACAAATTTCAGACCCCAGACAGCAGATTCGATCCCACAACATAAAATAACAATAAATCATGTGCTGTCCCACAGCACCCCACTATATCTCCTCCCTTCTTGACTCTATTCATTCGCATTACCCAATTTGTTGCCTTATTTAAAATTTGATGTATCTTCCCTTATGCATCCGTTCCTATTAATTCAATTCGAAATTTTGTCTTAGTAAATGTTGGTTCCCAAGATGACTCCTTCAACCGCACAGACATCCATTCCCTTCGCGTTTTGCCCGCTCTATCCACCTAATTTATGTTTTCCGAAACTAGACTGCTCGCACTTCACATGTGTATTTGACTTGTTAAAATTGTAGAAATAAAAGATAAGCAGCAAGGTTAACAGGTTTTACCCATACCAACCCGAGCCGAAACGATAGACATCTAGCAGGATGAATGAAAAGGAAACTACAGCCATGACCTGAACGAATGATAACTTAGTGCTAATATTAACCCCACAAGGTAGTGAAGAACATAGTCATTTATCACACACTGCGTAAACTACGTAACTAACCTGAATGACAGACTAACTCGTTTCCTTTTTTTTTGTTATCTCGAACCGAGAGTCTATCGAAAACCGTCTCTCTACTCCATCGGGTAGGGGTAAGGTCTACATACACACTACCCTCCCCACACCCCACACCTGTGGGATTTTACTGAGTTGTTGTTGTTGTGGAGAACTTGGAGGGTAGAACATGTGGTCTAAGGAATGGCGGGTGCCTCAAGTAGTTATTTTTCACGTGTACAACGGAAAAAAGAAAACCTTTTTTCTTCTTTTGTTTTTGAGAAGAAAAAATGAAAAACCTTCCATGCCGTTTCTGGGTACAGATTTACTAAATGAAGTACCTTACTGAATGTTGGTTGCCTTGGGGTTGACATTAAGTAATTATAAATCTTGATTGCTCAACCAAAATAGCAGTAGCAACCAAAGTTTTTTAAGCACAACTTATGAACTCATTGTCCACAGTTGTACAGGGCAACTCAACCTGGCTCATAAAGAGAAGTGAAAGAATCATTCACTTAAGGAAGCCATAAGCAACGGCGGTTAAACATTGCAATATGCTCTCAACCATTTAAAGCATCAGCATGGCTGAATCAAATGAGACTTCTTACTGGTTAACTCGCTCTGCCTACGAATCAGTAGACAGCCCTAAATTAAAAAAGTACTAGTTGTTCGCTACAAATCATCTGCAGAATCTCTCATCTAAAAAGGGCAATCACCCAAGCACATTAACAGACAATACAGTCCAAAGAAAATAGATGACACAACTCAAACCATTGCTCCACGGGGAGTAACAAGACTAACAAACACCACCCTAATGATACAAATGTTGTCTGACACATTCCTCCCATCAGAAACAATCTTAGACATATCAAGGAGAAGCAGGAGAATTAGTCAACCTTCAGTTAGACCATACATGGACTAGTCCAAGCCTGTTTCCGGTATAAATCTCATTGCGCTCTTCGTCATAGAAAAGGGCAGTAATATCTTCTAGGGCTTCTGAAACCGTGCTCCTAATTCTGGAAGCTTGGACCCGCTTTTGTGAGTTGCAGCATCTGCCACCGGGCCCACTACAATCATCAGCAGTGAGGCCACTGGTTGCTTTGATTTTAGCAAGGCATTTTCCGGTCAGAATATTGCTGACATTAATAGATCCCGCTGTGCCAAACCAGAATACCCATGCTCAGAAATTCATAAAAGTAATATGAAACGGCAAAAAATAAATAAATAATAGATCCCACTAGTCCAGCCATCCAGGTTATATATGTGCTCCCTAGCTCTAAGCTTATTAATGTGTGTGAAGCATTCTGTAATACAGGAATACATATGTGGCAGATTGATCAAATTTATCATGATATGCAGCCATCCAAACGCTTATCGACTCCTTGCCATTTTAATTGGCCTACTTTATGACCAGTGGGTCCCAAAATTTTGACCTCTTCTGTTAAAATGGCTATTTTTTTTTCATCCAACAATCACAACTTATATAAACTAATACTATAACAAGTTATTTCAAATAATGTGTTTCCAAACCACCTCTTTATCTTTTCACATTTCAGACAATTATTTAGACTCTTCTATACCAAACAATAACAATTTGTCAATTCCAAGCTAGTTCGAGTCAGCCATATGAATCCTCACAAATCATATCAATCAAGTTAGACCCATACCAATCCAATATTTGAAGATGATAATAACAAATAAAACCGACTTAAATAAGAACAATAACAATAACAAGAACAATGTAAATGATGATGATGGTAACAAGAAAAAACAACAGTAGCAGCACAGCAGCAGCAGCAGCAATGATAATGGTAAGTCAATATCCATTCAAAGAGTTTACTCTTAAACAGCATGAAAGTCAAGCCAGGTCACTTAAAATGAAATTAAAGAAGTATTGTTGTTTTCAGTCATCAAGTAAGACTTGAGAAATTCCTGAAATCTAACATACCATTTCCTTCAGATAAGGGATCATCAGAATCAGCTTTGCAGTATGAAATAATAAGGTCCTGATCACTAGTTATGTAAATGTTGTTAGTGTTGCAATCAGGATGCCATAAAAGGTGATCCTCAAATGAAGTAACAAGCTCCCCACGGAAGTTCCAAACAGCTACTGTTCTGTTTCTAAATGTCAAGAACAACTGGTTCTCATAAAGAAATATGAATGCCGAGGGGGTCATGAACTCAGTCCTGCTAACTTCTGTCAACTCAGAATTGCGTACCTACATCCAGTAGACATTAGAAATGATGATAAAGGAAGACAGATGTGTTGTTGAACATAGATAGCTACTCACATCCAGAATCTGAAGATTCTCGTTCTCTTGCTTGACAAGAAGCTTTTCATTAAACTGTTCAATGAAATCCACCTTCTTATTTCGGTGAAGAAGATGGTTGAAAGATTTAAGAACAGTGCCGTCCTCAATGGACAGAATCTTCAGAGGTACGTGGCCACTAGCTTTGGTAAATATCAACAACATGATTCCTGGACTGCTTTAAAGAAAAGAGGGGAAAGATTTAAAAAATATATAGGACAGAAATCCAGGTCTTCCAAGTCAAACCACAGCAAAATTATGGAGAATACACTCCTATAACACAATAAACTGGACTCCATTCAGTGAAATGAACCCACATTACCTAGAACATCCTTTCTTCACTTAGTCATAGATTCGAATATGAGATCTTGAAATATTATGTTATTCCCACAAATAAATAAAACCATAAAAGCACTATAACAAAAACAAACAAAAGCTCTTATGGAACATCTGGACACACAGAAGAAAACAGAAAGACGAAGAAATAGAAACGGAGCAATACACAAGATTGACGATATAATAAACTTAAAATGGGTAGCGACTCAAGCAAACATGAATCAAGTAAAATTGCCCATTTTAAACCATTCCCTCAAAAAAGCTACACTTTGATTACTAGCTAAAGCATTTATATGGTAGTCTAACAGGGATCATGTATAATTAGGATAGCTTATTGACTTCGAATGAAACCTGGAGGAGCAAGACTAAAATGCAGACAAGTTTCCACACAATTACTCATGCAACAAATCCAGCAACCAGCTTTTTTTAGAGACAATGCAAAATAATGAGTTTACCTGATTTTAATCTCTTGAACATTTTTGTCTGAGATTGAGTATAACATTGAATAATTCTTCAGGTCAAACACCTTGTATATGCTGATGAAAGTGAAAAGAGTTCCGTAAGTACAACAGCAACTTCACAAGATTAAAAAAACATCTGACCTTCTGTTGGGCCTCTTTGAAAATAAAAACAGGACTTTATAACAGAACAATCACCTATCCTGGGCGGAGTAGGTAAGCACTTTTCCATTGACATCATCGAACTCCACAAAACCAGGCCATTTTAATGACTCTGACTCAAATAGCGCAAAGCCAGCATCTGGTTTACCCCTCCGGATGTATCTAATTTCATCAA